CATATATGTGTCCATATGTGTTACTTTCAATCTTATGTTTTCAATCTTATGTAAGTTACAAACTAGTAAAAGTTTTGTTGATGATAAAAATGTGGTTTGACAACTCTTTGTTTAAATGGAAAATGACATAAAATAGAAAAAAATAACATTTTATTTTCTCTTTAAGTTGATGTTTTCTTTTAAAAAGTTGTTTTTAAGCACTTGTCTTGTAGGTGGGAAAACATTTACGTCCGTGCATTTTTGCAGGTTGATTGTTTTTTAAAAGACTGTATATGTCAAAACGTTTGTGTCATTTTTTCCAAAAAGACATGGACCAAAATCTACAGGTAGAAAGACATTTCTCGCAGACATCTTCTAGACAATAAATAAATATTAAATTCTTTTAAATATAATTAATGATGCTTTCACTTTTTTTTTTCTATATTTTGATCTACTATATTTTAGTTGATTTTTATATAAAAATAATTTATTGATTATCCAAATATAGAGCATCGTAAACATAATCGGTTAAATGATATTCACAAATCATAAATTAAACATCTATTTATCCTATAATGTGTAAATATCATAAAATGATATTAGTAATATGTTATATGTCAATTTACCAAAAATAACATATTAATTTTGTGCAAATTAAAATCTCTTTTTCTGAAAGCATTGAATTTATTTTTTAAGACCGTTTACAAAAAGGGTTTTTTTTTTTTTTTTTTTTTTAATTATAAAATATTGTGTTTTTCTTTTGAAATTCAACCACACCCCTATATTGAAGAGATGACATCATATCTATTTGTTACACAAAGAACCATTACCATTGCATGTTTCACACATAATTTTTTAAGGAAAGACGTTTTGAACGATATGTTATTCACTCAATATGAACAACCCAATATGTCGTTTCGAATTATATGGAATGAATAATATAAAAAATTGTATTGTGGATGTATGAATTATATTTCAGTGCTCTAAAACTAGAATTATATAATTTCAGTGTTGAAGTACAAAAAACTAATTTATTTATATTTGAGTATTTTAGCAGTTTGTAGACCTTAAAAAGCAAAAAATCTTGTTTTTACAGACTCCATACGTTTGGTCTATCATTTTTTCAGCATATGTCTACAAATATGATTTGCAAAGTAGATACATTTTACCATTTAAAAACACACATCACCTAAGTCACTAAATTTCTACTTGTATCCAACTAACCAACAATTTTTTTTTGGTTCTATTAGAACATCCGTTATATCCACCACATACCACATATGTGATGAGTGCCACATCAGCACCACATTCTCCTACTACTAGCATGAGATACCTATCACTAATACACCACTCCACCTCATTTTTTTTTATTTAAATTTAACTCAAAAATACATTAAAATCATTTTTTTTAATACTAGTTTTTCCATTAAATTAAAATACCAAATTACATTAAATAAAAACTACATTAATTGAAATTAAAAAAATAAATAAAACTAACAATAAAAATAAAAATTACATTAGTTAAAATAAAAAAATTAAAAAAAACATGAAAAAAAAACTAAAAATTCCAACCATAAATAAAATAAACTACCCCTACGCCTACGTCGGGCTCGAACCAACTCTTTCATTGCTTGGAAAAGTTCCAAATCTTCACCCTCGATGTCGTCCGCTTTCATTTTCAAGATTTTCATATCGGTTTTTGTTTAGAGTGTCTCTTGTGCCTCTTGAAATGATGATTGTGTTTCGATCATTTTTTGTTCCATCTGAGTCATCACCTCGGCCTTCGTTTCTTGAAGTTGCACATATCGATCAAATTTATCGCCAAACATATCCATAACACAAGAATTCGAAGATGTTGACACCGTTTTTTTTTGCTTTATTTCTTCCAACGGGCCGACGAAGAGGTTGATCGTTTTCAAGATCTATCAGATCGTTGTTGATGTCGATGTATGTTCGGTCGTCCGATTGTTGAGAAGTTACACCGGAAGATTGAGAAGTTCCTTCCATTTTCTCTTTCCATTTTGGGGCGTCTTTCAATTTTAGCCACAGTTTCATATACGGAAAAACTTTGCGTGTTGGCGTTGTTTTTTCAAATTGGTCCATGACCGCCTTGAAAACATCAAAATCATTCGACCCGCTTTTGCGTATGTTTAGGAGGTTGTTGTAGATTCCTCCAAACTCGGTGCATTTTAGTCGAATATCTCGCCATTTCGACGTAATTTGATCGGCATTTCGAGTTTCACTTTCCATTAACTCGTAAAAAATGGCTCGCAATTTTTTGCGAAAACTTCCGTAAGGCTGACTATCTCCTACAATTGGATCTTCGGAAGCCGCCACCCATGCCTCCGCTAACTTTTCTTCTTCTTCTTCTGTCCATGGGACCCTTTCTTGGGTGGTAGTGGGTCGGGCCGGTTTTTTTTTCCTTTTTTCTTTTTTGGTTGAGGTGGCAGTGAAAGTTGTGTTTCCGCAACAAAATCCGATGAAAGTGGTGGTTGTGAGCTTGGTGGTTGTGAAATTGGTGGTTGTTGTTGTTGTGACGATTGTTGTTGGAATTGTTGTAGTTGTTGGAATTGTTGGTATTGTTGTTGTTGGAAAGCCGAAAAAGGTTGATATTGTTGTTGGAAATGTGGTGTTTGTTGGATAGGGGAACCAATTTGAATTAGATTGATAAAACCCTCTTGAGGTGACTCCATAGTCGGGAATTGGCGAGGAGTTGTATCTAACGCAAAAGCGTTATCGGGTTTACGATTTCTGTAGTTTGGAGGGGTGTTTTGGTTGTGATCCATGGTTTTTGGTTGTGAAGATCTAGTATGTAAATTATGTATAGAGATAGAAAAGAATGGTGTAAAAATTAAGAAGTTAAAGTGTTGTATTTATAGGTAAATAAATTGTTTATAAATTGATTTTTTTAACAAACTAGTCGTTTCAACGGCTAGTCTAACTTTCAAATCTCTCTCCTTCAATCTCATTGGACGTGCGCTTCCATTCTCCCGAACACGAGTGAGAACGACAACGGCCAACCACGAGACAATGGGGTAGTGTGCACGCTCGTTGTTCATGGCCAGCTCAACCACGAACATGCTCGTTGCATGTAAACCGTTTGGCCTTACCATTGATTGTATGGACATAACCAATGATGTGGAGTTTATATAGACAGGAAATGTGTTATTCATGATAAAAAGGCAAAGTTGATGGTGTAATAAACAAAAAAAATTGTTTGTTAATTAGATATTATTAAAAATTAATTAATTTAAACAACAAATAAAATATTAATGGTTGTCATTTACTATAATTTTCTTTTTTAAACCAAATAGTCTTTTATTTTAGAGAAATCAAATATCCTTATATTTTTTCTTTTTATTCATCCTTTTATCCATTTAAAATTATGACAAGTTTCATATTTAATTAAATTATTAATAGATATTTAAAGGCGTGTTTGGCACGGAGCTTTTAGAAGCGTTTGGGAGCTTCTAGCTTTTAACTTTTGATAAAACGCTCTAATTTAAACAAAAAGCTTAATTTGGCAGTACGAGCGTTTAGCTTTTAGTGTTAACAAAACGCTCCGATTCTAAAAGCTACTTTATGTAGCTTTTAACAAAACGCTCCGGAGTTTTTAAAATCAATTTCCATAATTACCCTTAAAAATATATTTATATATATTTTTTATTTTTAACACAATTGTCCTTTTATGTAATTTTATATATTTCAAAAGCTTCCAGCTACTTTTGCCAAACATTCATATAACAAATAAAAGCTACAGCTTTCCGCTACCAGCTACCAGCTACCAGCTACCCGTTACCAGCTAACCGCTACCTGCTTCCAGCTAACAGCTACTTTTGTCAAACACGCCCTAAGACACTTATCGTAATCTAAAATCGATACGGAAAAAATATGAATATTAAATAACCTTCTATTTTTTCTTCCTCTCCATGCTTCTACTTATCTTAGATTGCGACAAATATCTTAAATCTTTATTAATTGAATTAAATATGACATTTGTTGCAGTCTAAAACATTTTTTAATTAAAAAAATCAGAAGTGATCCAAAACGGTTTTTAACTTTAAAAAAGTGATCCAAAACTGAATAAAAATTAAAAAATAACAACCTTAATAAAGTTCACATATCATTTATGTAAAAAAAAAAAAAAAAAAAAAAAAAAAAAAAAAAAGGCATCCCTTGCATACCTTACTGCTCATAAGCCTGTTATGGCTTTCATATGTATATGTATATTAATAAGATCGTGAATATGAAGAAAAAGTAAAAAGATATTTGATTTTTTATTTCTTTGTTTTAATATATTTTGACAAAAATGGATATATTGGAATAAATTAAATATATATAAGCTAATCGTTTTAAAAAACAAAAAGAAAAACTAGGAGTTGATAGGTGTGGGCTCATAAGTGTGTAAGCTACAGAGGTAACATTATTACATTTTAACGTCTTCATAATTTTAGTTGTTTTTATTTGAAGTGAAATAGATATTTTGTGTTGGTAAATTTATGTTTTTATTTTTTTCTTTCTTTAAAAACCGCGAGTTAATATATATGCAAGAGATTGAATACATATAGAAACGCCTTATTATATAACTTGTTATTTTTGTTTTGGTACTTTTTGACAGTTTATAACTTTATATTAATTTATTTTATTTTTAAAACAATGTGATATTTATTGTGCATTATTTAATTTATCTTATGTTTTAAGACAATGCGATATTTATTGTGCATTATTTAAATATTGTTGCAAAGTATTGATTTATGTTAAATAATTATTATCTGTTTTATATTAGCCCAAAATGCAAGCTAAGTCAATGGCTTCTTCTAACTAACAACCCTCCATTAAATTCTCATTACTCATCTATTCTCTCTCTCTCTCTTTGTCATCATCTTCATCCCCCAATCCACCATAGCTTCAATCCTCTGTAAGCTCCATTCTCACCTGCTCATCTCTCGTTTCCTTCCGACATATCCGAATTTAACAATTACACAACACAATCCCAATTAGCTTGAATTTCTTTGATTTAAATGGGTTGCTCTGCTTCTCGTTCTTCTCCACCATTTCACTTCACCACCACCACCATCACCACCACCGCCGCCTCCTCATTCGCCGATCATCAACACCCACCGTCCAATTCCTCCACCTCTTCACCTTCCCCTCACCATTTCTATTCCCCATTCTCAGATCACTATTACAACTCATCTTCAACACAAACCCCTGTTTCGCGAACCATGTCTCTACCCACTCCTCTAATCCACCATCCTCCCCTCCGAAAAGGCGATTCAAATCACTTCGTCTCCCTCACTTCCACAACATACGGTTCCCTCATCCTCATCGACAACAACACCACCACCACCACCACCGACAATAATAGAACCCTAGAAGAACACCCGGCTTCGTCTCCAGATTCCGTGATTAACACCTGGGAACTCATGGAAGGTTTAGATGATGAATTTGATATGATTAACGATAATCAGAAGCAACCCAATTCTTACTTTGGAAAATTAAGTAACGTATCGAAGGAAAAAACCTATGTTTCTTTCGGGTTAGGTGGTCCGTACGAATTAGTGGAGCATTCGGAGCCTAAGCCTTTGTGGAAGCATTTATCTGAAGAATCACTGCTATCGAAAATGGATTCCAATTTGGTTTCAAGTTACAACAAAGCATTGTCTTCTAGAGTTCTTGGTTGCAAAGAATCGAAATTAGCAAGTCATCCCGTTACAGAAATCACCGATACAAAAGGGGGTTGTGTTCTATCTGGTTGTGAAGATAGAATCGTATTGTACTACACAAGTTTAAGAGGAATCCGAAAAACTTACGAAGATTGCTGTGAGATTCGAATGATTTTAAAAGGGTTTCGAGTTTTCATCGATGAAAGGGACATTTCAATGGATTCCGCTTACAAAGAGGAACTACAAGGTGTTTTTGAAGGTAAAGGATTCACTCTGCCACAACTGTTCATCAAGGGTAAACATATCGGTGGTGCAGATGAGATCAAACGGCTTCACGAGGAAGGAAGTATGTTTAAGTTTATGAAGGGTTTTCCTATTATTGATCCTGGGTTTGTTTGCGATAATTGTGGGGATGCAAGATTTCTGCCATGCCCAAATTGCAATGGCAGCAGGAAGGTTTTTGAGGTAGAAGAAGGGAGATCGATTAGGTGCCCTAATTGCAACGAAAATGGATTGATCAGGTGTGCAATTTGTTGTTCTTGATTGATTGATTAATCACAATCACACGTACATACTCGTTTTCTTATAGTAATCGTTAGTAGTCGTTCTGGATGACGATGATGAATCATTGGTGGTGTAATTGGTATTTAAGCTCTTTGAAACTTGTTCATCTTCAGGTAATAAGAAAGATTAATATCTATTTACTCCCATTGTTGTTTTAAGACCATTTTGTTTCTGTCATTTAGCATACAACAATCTATGGATTTCTAAACTCTAATTTTTTTTTTCTATTTTTATGTCGCCGAAAAGCTTTTGGCAATTAATAGAATGTTCCACTTTAAACAAATGAGTTTTGACATGGGGCACCAATACATGTTCATGTAGGGCATATGTTTGAAAAACCCACTATATTATTAAATTTGAGTTTATAAAAACTCTCATTATTGGAAAGTTTCATACTTAGGTTTTCTTTCAATAAGATGTCTATAATATGTTGTACTTTGACACATAAAGATGTTTATAACATGTTCTTTTTTAATAAGATCAACATAAAAAACATGTAATATATTGTTTTTTTTTTCCGAATAAATTGTAATAGTTGGAGGCTCTACGAAACCATAAAATCAGGGGTTTTCGCTATATATTGAAATTATCGTGTTTAAATAGATCCAAAATTAATTTAGTGGGTTTTTTCGGTTATTGCTATAGTAATATATTGTGTTTTATGACATTTGTTCCTTCATATATTTGTTCATGTAAGAGGGTTATTCTACATGAGCTAACAACCAATCCATTAACATTATGTGATATGTAAATAGTGTTGGATGATTGATATAAGATCCTGACATGTCGTGAAGTAGATTGCCTCAGGTTATCAAAACAAAGTTTCACGCCTTGATGGGTGGGTTATGAGTGGAGTATAGTAGGAGAAAAAATAAAAATTGTACAATAATCCTATCGAAAAAATGTATATGGGATGTTTTGGAAATTCTTTAGAGTTGCGAACTTTGTTGAATCGAGGAAGGAGTTTGATTTTGTTGCTTTAAGAGTTTTAAGCATAATATGTAAACCATACATCGAACTATATTATTGAATCACCAAGATGAAAAGAAGTTCTTACATTGATCCATTGATCATGTCATCTTCTTGATGTGAAACTTTGACAACGAAGTATAACCGGTGTGTGATGGTCTTCTTCAACAAAAAAAAACTTGTTGTATTTCTTCAAACAACCTTTGGTAACGAGCCTCTAAGATTATGCAAAAAAATGGCGTCTTTGTATGTTGGGGACAAACCACATTTCTCAAAATATTGAAGTGTTAATTAAACTCTAATAATATTATTTAATGATGAATAGTCTTATGTAATTTACAAACATAAATACACCATGAAAATATGGAACCAAAGTGGTTTCAATAAAATATTTACAAGATGAATAAATCACCATGAAAATAATACCAACACATTTAGACTAGACTGAAGAGTACACTAACCATTCGCGTATGTGTCATCTCTGTCCCACTTTAAATTTCTCACTCTTTAAAACCAAGAAAAACCAAGAAATGATCACATTTCCCTTCGTCTTACTTTTATTTTTCCTTTTTTTAAAACAAACTACTATAATTTAGAAGACTATAATTCAAAAAATAAATACAATTAGTTAAATTATGGTTAATAAACATAAAACTACCAAAATTGAAATATTTCATTATATAAAAATAAAAATTACATAATAGAAATAAGAAAAGATAATTAAAAATAACAATAATTAAAATCCTGTACACCACAATTGTTTTTGCCATGATGTCATCGATAAATGTTGTTTCTTCTAATACCAACGTATCTGATGAACTAAATGATGATGACGGCTTTGTGGTTGAATGAATTTGTGAGAGAAAATATAAAAAATAGTGTGAGAATAAATGTTGAAAATGATTGGCGTTTATATATCGGTAATGGTTTATAGTATACATAGAGACAGAAAGGTTATTAAGGAACCATTTTAAACAATTGAACCAAAGAACTATTATTTTCTCAAAATTTAGAGCTTTTTATTTATTGAAAAAAAAAATTAAAAATATAAATTTATAACTACACATTGTAAATGCTAAAAAATCATTTATATATTATCCGGAGTCACCATGTGAATTGAGATTAACACTGTAAATATGACGAGATCAAAAAACTAAAAAAAAATTATATCAAATTTGATATCAACGGAAAGAGGATAAGAAATTATGAATATATATATATATATATATATATATATATATATATATATATATATATATATATATATATATATATATATATAATAAAGCTGTAAAAGTTCAAAAAAAAAAAAAAGATAAGTTTATAGGTTATATGGTTTAAAATGGTTCCTTATTGAACTCAACCCCATATATATATATATATATATATATATATATATATAGAGAGAGAGAGAGAGAGAGAGAGATAGAGAGAGAGAGAGAGAGAAAGAGAGAGAAAAAATTCAATTAATAAATTAAAAAGATTGAGAATAAGATAAGAGAATTATTCTCAATCACTCGTTTATTTTGCTGAAAAAAAAAAATCTCCTTGGTATCAGCAAAAATGGGAAAGGAGTAGAATTTTTTGCCAATAAAACATGTTTTCTTAAATTATGCTAATCATTACGTTAATATATACAAAAACATAGTTTTTTTTTCCGTTTTTTCCTTATAATTTTTAAAAAGCTATTTTATCAAAAAATGATTTTAAATATACTAAAGTTTATGATTTTTTATTCTATACAAATAGATATCCCTATTGATATAACTTTTAGATAATATATATATATATATATATATATATATATATTATATTTTAAGTTATCGTTATTCATAACTAAATAAAAATGCATAAAATTTTTAGAAAAATACATGCGTTATTAACTTATAAATAAAAAATATTATTAATTTTTTTACAGATTAAGTATCATTCATATATAAATATAACATATAATAAACTCTTTACTGATTATATCAACTCTTGTCACATGTTATATTCACACACACACACACACACACACACACATATATATATATATATATATATATATATATATATATATCGCGTATTGACTTTCCTCGCAAGTTATATTAATATACGAAGAATACATTTATCATGATTTTGTTGCATTTCATTTGTTATTCTTATATGAATAAGTAATTCAAATTTTCGAACACACTTCATGTTTTTTAGTATATTACTTATTTATATATGAATAACAAAGAAATCGTAACAAATATCTTATAAATGTTTTATTAATATATGGATATAACATATGACGTCAAGTAATAAACGTTTTATTCATATGTAAATATAACATGTGACAAAAGATGATGTAAACAAAATATATTTTAGGCAAGAAAAATTTATAACGTGTTATATTCATATATAAACTATGTTTAAACTGTTAAAAAGTTAAACATACATTTTATTCAGAAATGAATAACGAATGTACTATAATAAAATCTGATGCGTTATTATTCACTTAAAAATAACGATAGCTGAAACTCTAAAAAAATATTTTTTTTTTATTTTATCTCAAAACTATATCAATATGGATGTCTATTTATAAAGAATAAAAAATTATGACTTTCAATATATTTAAAATAAATTTTCGATAAAAGTAACATTCTAGAAAAAAAAAAAAAAAAAACTTGTTTTTGTGTATATTAAGGTAACGATTAACATGCATTAAGGAAATATGTTCGGTTGGAAAACACATGTATATCCATTATCCATTCCGCCGGTACGTCTATGTTTTTCGAGGTAAAATAAATGTGTGGCTAAAATGATTCCTCATTCTTAATCTTTGTTTGTTCTTAATTGAACCCTATATATATATATATATATATATATATATATATATATATATATATATATATATATATATATATATATATATATATATACCAACTAATTTTTTTTTAATTACTGTTTGAGGATAAACTGATGGGCAAAAGAGGAGAAAGACAATAATTCTCTTTCACATCTTTGCAAATCACTGCAACGTTGTCTGCGGTTTAAATACACCGACTAGCCTTAATGATATACATAAATATGGATGGAAATGACATAAAACATAACATACACATGTCCATTTTCAGCTGGTGCAATAATAGTATTAAGTAGTCCACACTTTATGAAACATTAATATTGTAAGGTCTTGTATTCAAGAAAATATAATAAAAAGAATGTCACTGAATTTATTTTGCGGAATATCATAGCATAATATATGGATATCTTTACTATATTATTAAACATATTACTAATTTCTTGAAAATTAAGAGGTACACTATTATAACATCATGTACAATCCTATTAAGCATAATGAAAACGTCTACACATGATCCTTTGATTATAACTTACGGTAGTACCTTCTCCCTGTCTAAACGTGGAATGCCATAATACCATCTAGATACCATCGGTCATCGTTTCTCCAAAATCTCTTCTGTCTCTCTACTTGCTCTCTTCAATCTTCGGCAAGCCTCTATTACTACAATTCCACAACTACTATTCACCATCCAGAGATGAACCTTACCCCCGTACCAGTACACCGTCATTGAACATCACCTGGTTCTTCTCCCTGTCTAAAATGGTCCACCATCGCTTCGGATTCTATCTATCAAAACCTAATCTACCATATACAACCATATTGATAAGAATTGTAAAAGTGTTTCTTCATCTTCCAAGTCACATTCCACTAATTACTTTTTTGATCTGGTTATAATTCAGCCCTTTTTTGGAGTTTTCAGTAATTTTGGTCCATATTCCATAAGAAATGACCATGTTGCCATTTAATTGGTTTTTTACAAATACTTCTTCTTATCATATAATGTTTAACTCTTAATAAATTGAATTCTAGAACTTGAAGCTTCTCGAGGAGTGGTAGCATAGCTAGAGCACAATAACATGATGTGATAAAAGTTCGTCTTAAGGAATGTCACATTTAGCATAATATGGTGTTGGAGGGTAACATTGGGAAAATATTCGTTTCTTAATTTGTATTTGATTGGGATTGTTTTTTTCTTTATTCTTTTACATTCACCTGTTGATGGGAGGACATTGATATATTACATGCACACAAGGATTTTGCTTATGATCTCCTTAGGTTGAGTGGTAAGTTCATTATTTTTATACCGATTATACCCTCAACATCTTTATAAAGCAATATACTTTGCACACAAGGATTCAATGGTATTTTTAAGTAATTTTTTAAGTTTATTTATATTTATATATTTACATTTATTGTAAATATATATAATTAAAAATACAAGACCCAAATACACCTAAGAGTCGATTGAGTCCTTTTTAAGAATTTTCCCCACTACATGTACATATTAGAGTCGATTGAATGTGTACATTTAAGTTTTTTTTTCTTATTTTAGGAGCATGAAAGGTAGCTACTAAAAGTCTACAACTGCCACCACTTTAATTAGTTTGTTTTATTAATTCTAGGTCATTCTCTCATTGCTTCTTCCTGGTTTTTGTGTAGAGGTGCATCCTTGATTTGTGATTGAGATATATTTGACCTATTTGCTATTTTCCCCTTGATCACATTTTATAGTTGGGAGTTTTTTTGGTAAATTTTCTTCTCATACTATTGATTTAGTGTCTACAGATCCCACATTTTATAGTTGGGAGTTTTTTGGTAAATTTTGATCCTAGCTGTTTAAACAAGTGGCTTTTAACCTTCTGTAAGTTTAGAGATTGGGTCTTTGAGAAGCATATGAAAGGTTTGGGTCGAAGATGGCGATGGGAATTGTGGAAGGGATGTGAATAAACTAGACTTTTTAAACTTTAGGTAATAAAAATATTTTTTTTAATCTTTATGTGATAAAAGATGAGTCATGGTGTTGAAAAGCTAGCATTGTAACATCAAGTTATTGTCTACAAAGTAGTAGTAAAGGTTCGCAAAAAAGAAGTTAATGCAAGAATTAACAACATGGTTTCATATATTTATTTATTATAACATCCTACTTTCATATCTTCATTGTACATCATTGTTCTTCTAAAATTCTACTCATTGATATATTTTGTTCATCAGGTTTGTAACATCGACAAGAACAAAACACAAATGCATGCCATCATCAATCGACAAACTTCGCCTAGAAAAGGTATAAAATACATCTTTTTCCCTGATATTTCAAGCCAATGTACATGAAACTTTATATTTTATCCTCTAAACTTCTATGTCCATCCTTTAGATTTATCCAAAACTTTGAAATGGCCTTGGACAGTTCTCTAAAGAAAAGAAAGCTGCAATATTTATATTTCATGGCTTTTATAGATTTAGACCTTTTAATGGAGATTATTATCTTCTATTGGAGTTGTTGGAAATAGATAAAATTGTCTTTGACTTCACATTTGTTGCTTTATTGCTTCTATTGAGTCAGACTGTCATATTTTGGTGTGGCGATCTAATTGTACTCATTTTATCTTGCAATTGAAGTTAATGTTTTTTTATAGGATTTGCTGGAAAATGGTAATCATATGCTCAAAAGAGGTTGCTACAAACAGGGGTAGAGTCTTATTACTTGAATAAAAGCAAAATCATTCCTTTGGATTGTTTAAATGGAGGTGTTCTCTTGTCATCAGGAAAATTGCTTGTATTTTTACCTCAAGGTGGTAAGGGAAAAAAATTATAATTTCATTTCTACTCGTAATCTCCAAAAACATACTAATCGTTATCCATATGAAAAAAGTACATTTTTAAAGTTACTAAAAAGTTTAAATAACCTTGCTAAATGTATTCACCTTATCAGCATAACGAAGTCATCAAATAGATGAATTTACAAATTTATTTATTGTTAAAAGAAATATTTTATTGTGATTTAAATATATATGTAATAGTTTTATGGTGACCATATATTTGTAGTGTTATCCATAAACAAATACCTAATTAATCTGGCCTATTATCACTTTTTAATAATATGTGTTACAAATAAATACTAATAGTTTCTATAATGATGAAATAAAATCATATTTTTAAAATTTTATTGATAAATGAACAGGATTTCATATAATAATTAATAAATTAAGGAAATAAAATTTTGATTATTTTTACAAAAGGTAAGCTTTATTTTAACTTTCAAAATATGTTATCAAAACAATGTTCTAATAACAAAAAACTTGGTAATCAGCATACATACTACCATTGCGCAATAAGGTCAAATCCATCACTCTGAGATTATCCAGCCTATGCCACATATGACTTAGCATACTCACTTAGTAGCTAACTCACATTGCTAAGAGGCCCATAATGCACAAAGCAAGAAGCATTTGGACAATGGAAAAACTAACCAGCATACTCCAATCAAACCATTCTATCCTCTAATCAGGAATATGTACTAGTATGCAATTCAAAGGCTCATACAATCAAGCATAACCTAAACAAGTCATCCTACCCCTGGCTAATCAGTTCTAGCATGCAAATCCACAAGCTCATATAAGCATACAAAGGCATCTCTCCTTGATACTTAGCTCTAATCTATCATGTGAATCACATAATCATATTATATCACATAACAACCATGTATTGGTATTTTGGGAAACACTTACTTGAGCTCGGCGGATTGCACGCATCATACCCCTTTCTTTGATTAAAATTCCTTTTTATTAAAATATTTATTTTATAAAAATTTCACTAAGTCCTCAGTTTGAGTTCAGGCACACCCGATAGTATGCCCGAATCCCACAAACCAAGGCTCTGATTCCAACTTGTAACATCCTAAAATTCATGACCAAAAATTTCATTTTTAATATAACAAGAAAAACACATTTGTAACTTGGTTTACACATTGAAAAGCATTTCAAATAAAAAATTTATTAGAGTTCATTCCCAGAAATCACATATTGTGGAAAACATAGGTGTATGCGTTGCGATCGTCCCGAGCTCCTTTATTTGAAAACTGGAGGTACCTGAAACAAAAACTGAAAATCGTAAGCACGAAACTTAGTGAGTTCTCCAAATACCACATACCATACTTATCAACTGAACAATATATGTCATACATAACCGTGAGCCATACATATATCATAATCAATAAAGGTGTTATGTGCCGCACATAGTCTTTCCATTATGTCACGGGCTACCTCGTGGTCTTTCTTGCCAAGTCGGGGCCACCACTTGGGTCTTACAGACAAGTGCCAAGAGCCACCTCCTGGTCTTCCATGCAAGCATTACAAAGAAAACTAGCATACATACTACCATACTTAGCCAATTAGCATACATTGTGCCTGGAGCCGCCTCCTGGTCTTTTGTACATAATGCCTAGGGCTAACCCCGTGTCTTCCTACATTACATAATAACATACAGTGTGCCAGGAGTCGCCTCCTGGTCCTTCATACATAATGCCTAGGGCTAACCCCCCGGGTCTTCCTACAATACATAAACCAAATGGGTCGGTGTTGGTGCCTTCGACCCATAAAAACAGTGAGGAGGCTCACCTCGAATGCACAAGCTTCTTGGAAGAATCCCTAGCTGCTGCCCCGCTTACTTCCCGAGCTATCAATACTAGAACCAGATAAAATCTTAGTTAATAGGCCAAAACCCTCAAGTTTGGCCCAAGGTCAAACTTGGTCAAAAGTCATCGGTTAACGAAAGTCAAAGTCAACAAGTCAAACTCCAGGCTGAGTACGCCCAGAGTACTCAACTCATACATATGGCTTACTTACCAACCAGAATCAGTATCCCATACAAGTATGCGCAACGTACTCGAAGGTATGCCTGACGTACCCGACTAAATGACACTTTTCCATTAAGTGCTTAATCTCTTAAGCCCTTTCATCCAACACTCAGATCTAGTCCCACAACATCATTGTAAGTCATAAAGTTTCAACCTTTATGACTTTCCATGTCTAGAAAAGGTGGAAAAGCTAAAACCTTAACTTATCAATCCATATCCTGACACTCTCATGGAAGCTATAGAAGGATGAAGATTACATTTTTATGGATCCTAAAAGCTCCATAATGGATAAAGCTTCCAACTTTAGCCATTAGAATGGTCCAAACCACGAAGATCTAGCCTTTAACACTACTAGAAAAATAACCTTTTACGACGCGCAATTTATTATACGCATCGATTTACGATACGCAAAAGTGTGTGACCTAAAAATAATGTGATCTCTCTATAAATTTTAAAGGTCTAGGACGCGCATTTTTGCGTTCCCTTAAATTAGTGTCTAAAAAAACACGGAGGGCGCCTATAATAAAAAGTGTGTCGTCTGAAGATGTCACTTTATAAGTTTTAATGGGAAAGCGCGTTCCATCCTTTGATAGCTGGGTTGGGTGAGGGAATGAAATCCTAAAAAATTAAATACCCTGCCTTCCTTTTTCTTCCTTTTCCCTCTTGCCCTAATTATCGACGCCCCTTCCTTCCCCTCCCGACATTGACTGCAACCGCGCTACTTCTTCCCTTGCACCTCGACCATCTTTACTTGCCATTCCCGGTCGTCAACGTCGATCAACGCAAGCACGCCACCAGCTGACAACCTTCACTCTTTCCTTCCCCTTTTCTTTGTAAACCCTAATCCGCCTCCACCACTACCGAATCTACCTCAACTCACCTCTGACCTCAGCTCATCTCTTTCTGCCAGCGACCTCGGGCTCACCTCACCTCACCAGATACTACAACGACTGCTCAAGTTTATAAGCCCTAGATTAGATTAATATTGAAGTTGAGTATGATTCTAATGAGATGATCGGTTTCCCTAGTTGCGTTTTCATGATGAAATTTCCCACATGCGCACCAGATCTTTGAATTGTTGCAGAAGGGGACGACGCACGTGTGATTTACGCTAAAAAAATCAACTTTTGTAGGTCTCTCAACCTCCTTGTGTTTGAAATAGATATTGAAACATGCTTGGGTGTTGTTGAGGTGGTGACGACTTCCCAGAAAGTCAACCTTCGGGATGAACTCGAAAACATCTGTAAAGCTCTAGAGGTCTCTTTCTATCTTCTTTTCTATTAAGGTTTCTGCATTTCTGGCTTGATCGTGTTAGGTTCAGTTCATTTACGTCATGTTTTTAACTTTCTATGGCTCAGAACACCCTGCAGTTATCAGCTTATTCCTTAAAACTTGAAAATCATTATCACGTTAACCTGTTTGGAACCTGAAGTCTGAAGTGTAGCTTTTTTGAAAAGAAAGGGAATGTAATTATTTTGGGGGTTGTTAACGTGTTGTCGATGTTTATCATGTATTGTTGGATATAGAAGTAATTAAATATGTAGTTAGTGCTTTGTAGTACTTTTTTTTTATCTCTTTGGAAGGATGAGTGTTTGTGGATTTAACTGACCACTATCCACTAAGGACTCATGGAATCTGATGTATCTCAGTTTTTGTGGACTTTCTTTGAAAGGTGATGCATGCCTTTGGATCACTAAGGATATGACGAAACACAGCTAGAAGGGTGTAATATTTTATAATAATACTATTTTAAAAGACATTTTTTTTGTAGTTTTGAATTGTAAGAGCTGGTGCATTACCCAAGGTAGAGTGGAGTGATCTTACCACTCACCACTGTTTGGCATTCCCGGGACAAGTTCATAAGTTGTAGAAGCTTCACTAGCTTATCATTTGGATGTTCAAGTTGGAGGTTTGATTTATGATGCAGTTAATCTTGATGAGATGGGAAATGCTTTGTTGATTTCTTTCTAATGTTGTATTGAGCTGGATAATTCAGCCATAACATCATATTCTGAACGTATTAAAGTGGCATTGTTAGTAAGAAGCATGCAAATAAAAGTTGAGATAGATGGTGCATTAAGTTTACTGCACAAGGTTACAAGGTGTTGGTTTCAGATGACCGCATCACTTGGAATGTTAATATTTAATTGCTAGATACTAGAGAGTTAGAAGACTTTATGTCTTAAATTGATAAAATAAAATTAAATGTTGGATATATCTAGAGGTGTAAAAGTTGAGCTTTATCCAACTCGGAAGGCATGTTAGGCTGGGTTTTACCCATTATTTGCTTTTGTAAAGTGCAAAAACAACTAATAATTCACATGATACAGAAGTATGGTAGTTATCAACACTTGGCTAAGTAGTATGCTTAACTTTCCCAGTTGGTTTGTAATAATAATGGAAAGACACTCATAAGTTTTTTACTATTGCTGTTGGCTTTCAGTTTGTACTCAGGAAAAGTGAAGCTGAAAGTAGATATATAGGCATGACAATTGACAAACAAGTATTGGTGGATTGAAGTATATCTAGTAGGTGAGGACTGAGGTGACAGGAATAAGATAAAGATGAATCATATATCATTAGGATAGTTCTTTGGGCGGATACCCAACCAATATGGAGCCTGGTTTTGTCAAGGCTCGCCAATTTATACAGGAGAGAATGTGAGTTTCTCATTTACAAACAACTATTGTTTCTTTCCTTAATTTCTCTTTATTATTATTATTTCTTAAATTATTTTGTTGTTTTTGTATGCTCTTAGTGCTGACCTAGTTTTAGACTTGATAAGCTTAGGCCTGGTTCAGTTTCCTGTATTTCATCTCAATACCAACTAATTATAGTTACACCCCCTCCCCTCCTTGTGTTGATTTATTATCCATCATGCTTGGTTGCCTGCTTGGTAGATCTGATCTTTTTGTGTGTCTAATTTGATATTTTTCTACTCTTAATGTTTTTAAATCTTCTTCTCCAGCTATGAATTCTTAATGCAACGACAAAAAACACAAGAGATAGCTCCAAACAAGGTGATGGACATTGTTAGACGCCTAGAAGAAGGCCTGTTCAAGACCGCAACCACAAAGGTAAAATCTTTGTATTTTTCTTTGCATTGAATTTTGAAAGAATCCATCTCTTTAGTGCGATACCGGAAACATATTTGACTAAAATATACAAATTATTATATGTTTTAGGAGGAATACATGAATTTAGATACATTGGAAATCCGTTTACATATTCTAATCAGACGCATCCCATTGAGCAACCAAAATCAATAGTATCAGCAACAAGGCAATACTTCTGTTCCCATGGGAACAATGATTCCAAATCCGGGCATGGCACAAAGTGGGAACTCAAATATAATGGCCACATCATCTATGGATAACTCCTTTGTGGTGGGTGGTGGTAATAGCATGATGCTATCACCTGTGAACACAGGAAACCTTATACCTAATACCACCCAAATCTCCAGTGGGATGCAAAATGGCTCCTTGGGGTCATCTGATGGTAAATATTGCCTCTTATTATTTTATATTATCGACTTTTCTTCTACTCTGTATCAAAACATTGGATCCACTTTGGCAGGAGGTTTCATGAATGGTTATCAACAGTCAACATCAAAGTTTTCGAGTGGAAACATTTTGATTTCATCAATGGGGGCACAAAGAATGGGCAGCCAGATGATGCCTACTCCTGGATTTAACAATAGTAATACTAATTAGTCTTACATGAACACAGATATGTCCAACAATGTTGTTGGGCTATCGACTATTGACTCAACAATGGAATCTCAGCCACTGAGCCAGAAGCAGCAAGTTGGTGGCCAGAACAGTCGCATATATATTACATAGCCTTGGAAGCCATATGGGTGAGGGAATCAGGTCTAGTTTACAACAGAAAGCTTATGGCTTTTCAAATGGCTCAATAAACAACGGATTAGGAATGACGCCCAATAATTCACCTATGATGAATGCTTCAGGAACCTCAGAAAGCTATGTGACACCTTCTCATTATGGGAACATGAATGTCCATCAACAACAGATGTCACAGGGTACTCTCTCTCTCTCTCTCTCTCTCTCTCTTTGCTTTTGGCACTGTAGTATCCTCTTTAATGTTGATGAGGTACTTAATACGTATACTTTGCAGGTGATGGTTATGGGAGTAGCATCACTGATTCTTCTCGAACTGGAAACTTTTATGTTCCCACAACCTCAAATACATCGATGATGAATAATAAAAACATGAATCCATTAAGCTTGCATGCACTACATAACACGAGTGCTCCTTTGATGGTCAATCAGTCAAATTTGGTCAATACTCAGCAGGCAGAAAAGATGAATTTCAGGTCTCGGCATTCACTACATGAGACTCCTATGCAATCTCAGCAGCGTGTTCATTTTCAACAACTTGTTCAAAATCAAAGTCAATAGATGCAGCAGAATCAACATTTGTCATATGGTCAGTCTCAGATGTTGGCTTTCAATGGTATGTTTAAAATTTTAGTTTGTAAACAATTATTTTTTTCAGTAATTATAGTAAAACTAGATTATAGCCCGCGTTAAACGCGGAAAACGCATAAAAAACATATAATCGTTTGTAGATATTTTATAATGATTATAAAAAAAAATATATGGTTATTAGTATTATTGAAATATGTAGAAAATACATTGAAAACGGTAAATATATATAATCATTGAAAGATCTTTTTGTAGACATTATTTTTTGTTTTATTAGTTGAACGATTTTCCTCGTCTTATATAGTTATGATATTTATATATTTATAAGCATTTTAATTAGACGTTCATTGCATAATAATGTTACCTAATTTAAACATATATTGACAATCAATATAATTAGACGTTCATTGCATAATAATGTTACCTAATTTAAACATATATTGACAATCAATATACCGTTTTTTCTATTGCATTAAATATTAACAACTATTTTATTTATTCAAATAAAGTTATGTAATATAATTTATAAAATGTTAAATGTTATATAGATTTAATTTTAGTATATCATCAATGGAGATTTTTTTTCTAAATCATGATTGGTTTATTTTAAATTGATTATAAATATAAATGCTAGCTTTTATGTTTGTTCTTATTTATTTAGTATTTGCAAAAATTTTGCATTAGTTTTGGTGCAACTTTGAATAATTTTAGTATATCAATTTAATTTGATATATCTGTCAATTATATGAAATATCAAATAATGACATTTCATTACTATTATGATAATTTAGTTTATATATTGTATTTTCAGTAATCTTAACAGTCTTATTTTTTCTAATAACCGTAACGCTTTTACTAAATGTACTTTTTACAAATCTCCTAATATCTTATAATTTCAATCCTACTTTATAATTTTTCATAACTATGTTATTTTCAAGATTGACTGCTTTAATAGTGTTTTTTTTTCAGTCTATTCAATTTTATATTTCATTGTACAACATTATCGTTTGTATGTATTATGAAATTTCACTTTAAAAATGTTTAATATTTACACATTGATATTAATTTTTTTAATAAATTCATGTAATAATTATGGAATATATATCTCATTTTAATTAACATTCACTTCCTTTATTATATCAAATTCCTCATTAAACGGATATATATTTGGAAAATAATAATTATAATAGGACAACATTATCTAAAACGTAAATGTTTGATATACTTTTGGAGAAAAAAAATCAGGATCATTAAAAATATATATATATATATATATATATATATATATATATATATATATATATATATATATATATATATATATATATATAAAGAAAATACAAATTTAAATCTGTTGAAATTATGGATGAAATTACTGACGAATATTCATTTTGGAAGGAGTTGTATTTTGTAAGATATAATAATATTACAAAATTTGAAATATTTATATTTGTTGTGTAAATTAATAAATTTTATTGTTACTATACGAAGATAAAAAAAAAAAAAAAAAGTAGGTTGATATGATATATAAAAACATAATAATTTCAATGATATTTTAAAATCATGCCAAAATTAACCGGATTCTTATGACATAAAAATTTAAAAAAAAATCATAATCATCTCTAATATATAAAAGTAACATTTTCGTAACTAATGTCAGTTCCAAGGATAGTTAAATTTTGTTTTGTTAAAGGTACCTAATACCTTTTCATGTTTATTTGAAAAGTTTCAGAAAAGTAGTTAACTGATTTTATGTAATTTGTGATAAAGAAAATCAAAATATATGAATACATACATTTGATATAGGAACAAAAAATGATCGAAAAAAATATAAAAAGCGAAAGAAGGTACTGACCTTCTAGCGCACAAGAGTGAATGTTGATAGCAGAGAATGATGATGGAAGCTATAAACAATATTAACGATGTTGTAGGAGAATGTTTGAAGAAAAGAAACGATTGAAAATAAATGTGAGTCGCGGATTCAATGATGAATCGTATATGTATGTGATAATTTGAATATGATTTTTCGGTATTAATGATTTCCTAATAAAAAAGATTTTATATTACTGGTTTACTAATATAAACGGATTTATATTAATGGTTGATATTAAGACCTTGATTGAAATGATTTGTTAGTAATATATTTTTAAAATTGATCATATTAAAATCTTCATAACTGAAAATTCTAGATGTAAAATATGGAAAGCTTTTATTGGAATTAAATATATTCAATTTCAACGAATGTAAGTTATTGATTGATGATTGGAAAGCATTTATTGGAATTAAATACATTCCATATAGGGAAGATGATGTCAGCAATTTGATCTAAGGGTGGAAAAAATAAGATTGAAATACAATCAATGGTCCAGATTATTTAAGATGATGTCATAAAGTTTCTCTTTTAGTAATATTTAAGATAATATACAAAGTAGAGCTACAGATACACATTGCTATTATATTATAATCTTATTTCGGTTTTAATGAGCTTTCAGTGTCTTATTTGTATTTTTAATTAAATTACAATTTTATTTTTAAAATAATTAGAAAATACATTTTTTTATTAATCTTATTTGGATTCTAGTGAGCTTTTAGTATGTTTAATTCTTTTAGTTTGTAAATAAAAGTTTACGATAATTATAGTTACATAATTAATGAAATTACATCACTTGTTAGTCCCACGCAAAAGGAAAAATGAAATTACATCACTTGTTGAGGTAATTTTTATCTGGATTCTGGTAAAATTAAGTCAAGTCTAATTTAACTTTTGATTCTAAAGACTAAAACAAGTTAATTTTGATATGAATATGTTAGGATGCATTGACTCAATCAAACTTTCACTACAAGAAAAATCATAAATAGCTACGGAAAGTTACTATGGAATCAAAATCCGTTGCTATTTTACTACGGAATATGCTACGAAACGACTTGTCGTAGCTATTTTGCTACATAAATGGTTAGGGAATTGCATTATGTAGCTAAATCTTAAGTAGCTACATAAAATTGTTACAAAATCTAAATTTATAGTTATTTTACTACGGAATATATTACAAAATGGTTGGTTGTAACTAATTTGCTACGGAAATGGCAACGGAATTGCATTTCGTAGCTAAATCTTGAATAGTTGCTACGGAATTAAAATCTGTAGCTAGTTTACTACAAATAATGCTACAATTTTTTTGGTTGTAGCTAGTTCTTTATGAAACTTGTTACAAAATCAATGTATGTAGCTAGTTGGCTACATAATTGGCTACGTAATAAAAATACGTAGCTAGTTAACTATGGAATTGGGATCCGTAGCTATTTTGCTAAGGAAATTTGCTACAAAATAAAATTTTGTAGCTAATCTATTATGGAACTTGTTACAAAAAGGTGAATTTGCAAAATAGCTACGAAATGAAAATCTATAGGTATTTGGCTACGGAAAATTCCGTAGTCAAATAGTTACGAAATATGTTTCCGTAGCAAAATATATAAGATTATTGAAAAAAATATATTAAAAATACACAATTATCTTTGAAAACTCAGAAAAAAAAATCATTTTTAATTGTTTTGGAAATGTAATTATAATATAATTTCTACATTATAAATATTCTTTAATTTTTAGATTTTGATGACATACATTTGCTAATTTTCGTAAAATAATATTATCCCCATATTTTTTAGGCTTTGAAAATAATTACCCCTAAATCAAAATTTATTTACCCAGCTTGTACCAGCTTTTTCTAAAAAAAAAAATTAATTTGTTTTATTTTGGTTTTTTAGTAAAAAAGGAAAGAGAGAGAATCATTTGATGAACTTGAACCATGACGTTTGGTTCAATGTTTTATGAAGGGTAAAATAGTAAATTCATACAAACCTACTTCCTCGCAACCCCAAATCAGAGGTATCACGTTCAAAAATATCTCGTTAAAACCCATCGTCGGACGCCCATCGCATCTCTCCCTCTCTCAACTTGCCCCCGCTGTTGCTCAGCCACCCATCACGCCGGTCATTAAAATACCAGAGGAAGCTATTTGGGTCAAATACAAGCATCTTTTCAAGCAAATCTAAACTCCTGTGGATCGCATCTCTCCCTCGCTTCTTAGAAACCCAAGACTTGAATCATCAGGTGAACCAATCAGCTAATAACAAAAATCAAACCCACCCTGCAATTGTTAAGATCAATCAATCAAGGTACCCTTTGATATTTATATTCTTTTAATAATGATTATAAAGTTTTGTACAAAATGTATAAAGACTGGAACAGGATACGTTTTAGGTATTTAGCTGATTGAACTTTCGTCAAATATATGTTGCTTGTGAACATAGATGGTCCTGGAGATTTTGATTTTGTCATATATATTGCTGCAAGATTGTTAATTTACATGTTTACATCTCTTGATTTGTTCAATTTACATTTTCCTTTAAAAACTTATAAATATCACTTAAAATATTAATATTTGCAGATTAAGTAGATATGCCCAACAGCTCCTACTCGCCATGCGACTGTTCTCGGTGGATTTCCTTGCACTGCATGTAAGATATCTAATTTAAACCATAAATAATCTAATTTAAAAATATTATTTTAATGATAATTTTTGTTCCATAACAGGGTTTGATGAGGGAGAACTCTCAGAAGATGGCCAAAATGATGTTGAAGGTTTAGATGCTTCAGTATCACACATAGCAAACCTGTTATCAACGGAGCCACTGATGGTATAAAGTTTCTAACTTTTTTGTTTCCCTGATATTGATTACATATATTGTGAATACCCTTTTCGTTTCATTTCATTTTTGTTATATTTTATTCAATCTTTATGCAAATATAGTTCTATTATGGGCAAATTACAAAAACACCATGATGTTTACCTTTTCCAATCAAACTATAAAAGTTTCAGATATTATTCCAAATCAACCAACCATTTTGACATGTTACGTCATGTTTCACCTGTGATAATTTCCAGATTTTGATTTTGTCAAATATATTACTTTTTTGGCAACTTTAAAGGCCTTGAGGTTATGTTTTGGTTTTGTTTTTGACATGCAGGGGTTATTGAGCATATCTGGTTGAATGCAGAAGAGAGTTGTTTTGTTTTTTGTTGCTTTGATCACAGCCATTTACTGCATAAAATTGTAACATATGTTTGTTTAAATTTCTCATGAAATAGTTTTATTACATGTTACAGAAGTGAAATTGTGCATTAACATGGAGAATAATACTATCCATGCGTATGAAAACCTTATGATAAATTTAAATAGAAAATCTTTGACTTTATATGTTTTTATTTTTTAAAGAGTAAATACCTTCATCATCACTTTTGATGTCTAAATCAGCATCATCAGCATCTGCAGTGCGTGGAACAGTCCAAACATCAAGTTATTAGATGCAACCAAATTGATACAATCAATCACATACACAAGTCAACACTAACTAATATTACATTATAGATGAAAGATAAAGAGTCTTTAGATGTGATTTTACCACCATAACCCTTGTATTTAGATGAGAAGTGTCTCCGCTCACGCTCCACCAACTCCTCTTTCAGGTCTCTCCTTTCTAGTTCATCATGGGTGTCCTGACCATCCTTTCAGTAGCAACAAACACCAATCAGTATTGAAAACTAAAAAGATTAATCTCCCTTCTGCAATTTCATCAAGTTTCGTATGCAAGATTAGTGTGCAGATACTAATTTTAGACAACTTAAAGTAGAATACAATATATGGATTTCTCAGTTTCACACTCTAAAAGTATAAATCATGTTAATATGATTAATAGTAATTATTAGTAATGAAAGTTTCTCTTTCTTTATCAGCTAACTTAACCATCTGCACCACTCTAGACCTGTATGCTACTTTTACAAGCTCTTTGTCTGTAATAGCTAATCTCTTAAAGGCAGCAACAAGTGACTTGTATGGATGTTCTATATTTAGAGCAAAGGACATAACCGACATTTTTTGAAAGTAGGGTGCTATATTACACACTTTTTTGAGAGTAGGTTGTTCTATCTTGACGAGGAAATGGAGTTAAATACTTGTTTAATTGAGATCTACTATGTTATTTTCCTAACTTAATATTTTCATTTCAAGAAATAAGGTTAGTAAGTTTGTTTCCTAATCTTTTATTACTCCCTGATTATGACTAGTTTTTGATTTATGTGTGCAGATATAATAAAAATGAGCAATAGAAATTGGATGTATGAACGACTTGATGATCGCGGTCATGTATCTCATCTTTTCATTAATGGTGTGAAAACATTCATCGAGTTTGCTTCTACTAAGCAAAGTTATATGGATGGAGATAAAATTAAATGCCCATGCATAAAATGCAATAACAAAGCATATAAAGCAGTTGATGAGGCAAAATATCACTTATACAAGTTTGGTTTTGTTCCAAATTATGAGTTTTGGGATAAACATGGAGAAACATCATTGGATAGTACTTCATTAGGGATGGATGATACATACACGAGTTTAAATGAACACCATGATCCTACTTATAGAGAATTGGTGATGGATGCAGCGGGTCCTGATTTCATGACTAGAACTCTTGATGACGAGCCAAATTCAGAAGATAAGAAGTTTTTTGATATGCTAGAGGCAGCCGATAGAGAGTTGTGGCCTGGTTGTAAAAAGGTGACACAACTATCTGTTGTAGCTCGACTATTGAATATCAAATCAGAATATCGCATCCCTGAGTTATGTTTTGATGCCATTTGTCAATTGATAAAGGATGGGTTACCGGAGGAGAATAACATGGTTGATAGTTTATACGAGAGCAAAAAGTTAATACAAGCATTGGGTTTACCTGTGGAATTGATTGACTGTTGCAGGTCTGGATGTATGATATATTGGAGGGGAGACAAAGATCTTGATCGGTGCAAATTTTGCAACGCACAGAGGTACAAAAAGTCAAGAAATTCGTCCACACGTTCGCGTATACCTTTCAAGAGGATGCATTATTTTCCCTTGACTCCAAGGTTGAAGAGACTATACGCTTCACAAACAACAGCCGCTTCCATGAGATGGAACGCTGATAATCATGGCCACCATGTCGGTGTAATGTGTCATCCATCTGATTCTGAAGCATGGAAGCAGTTTGATATTAACCATCCTTCATTTGCAGCCGAAAGACGTAATGTTATATTAGGCCTATGTACAGATGGGTTTCAACCCCATGGTGCTTCAGGAAAACAATATTCACCTTGGCCTATCATTATAACACCTTATAATTTGCCACCGTTTATGTGTATGAAAGAGCCTTACATGTTTTTGACTGCAATTGTGCCCGGACCTACAAACCCTAAGCAAAAACTAGATGTCTTCCTTCAACCAGTTATTGCAGAACTCAAACAGTTATGGGAAGAAGGTGTTTTAACTTATGATGTTTCTTTGAAACAAAATTTTCAATTAAGAGCTGCATTGATGTGGACAATTAGCGATTTTCCGGCGTATGGAATGTTATCAGGATGGGCAACCGCAGGGAAGTTAGCATGTCCATATTGTGGAAAACATACACAAGCTTTTAGGCTTGAAAATGGTAAGAAGATATCATGGTTTGATTGTCATAGAAGATTCCTCACCACTGATCATCCATATAGAAAAGATAAAAATAAGTTCAAAAAGAATCGTGTAGAGACAAAAGGTCCTCCTCCAAGTATGAATGGTGAAGAAACCATAAGGCAAATTGAAGAACTTGGTTTGTTAAAAGTTACTGAACTTAATGTTGACGTAGTAAATAAATCACGTGGCAAATGTGGTTGGAAAAAGAGAAGCATATTCTGGGATTTACCATATTGGAAAACAAACCTCATTAGACATAATTTTGATGTTATGCATATTGAGAAGAATTTTTTTGAGAATATGTTTTACACTATAATGGATGTTAAGAAGAAGACAAAGGATAATGCAAATGCGAGAGATGATCTGAAACTCTATTGTAAGAAGAGAAAAGGAGTAGATCAAAATCAAAGAGCATATTATGCATTAGAGAAGAGGCAAAAGAAAGTCGTATGTGAATGGGTAGAGAGTTTGAGTTTCCCCGATGGTTACGTTTCAAATTTTGGGAGGTGTGTAGATTTGAGTGCATGTAGACTGTTTGGAATGAAAAGCCATGATTGCCATGTTTTTATGCAAAGATTGTTGCTGATTGCATTCCGCGAGATGTTGCCAAAAAATGTGTGGGAAGCAGTTACCGAGATAAGTCTTTTCTTTAAAAGCTTAACTTCAACAGTAATTACAACAGAAGACATGAAAAGGATTGAAGCTGAGATCCCGATAATTCTTTGTAAATTAGAGACCATCTTTGTCCCTGGTTTCTTTGACTCGATGGAGCATTTGCCAATACATTTGCCCTACGAAGCAATGATAGCCGGTCCCGTGCAATATCGCTGGATGTATCCATTTGAGAGGTTTGTTTTGTAGATCACATTGTATTTCAAAATTAAAACTTGTCACTCTTGGCTAACGTATCAAATGTTATACTTCAGATTTCTTCACCAGTTGAAAAAAGATGTGAAAAATAAAGCTAGAGTGGAAGGGTCGATTTGCAATGCATACTTAGTTCGTGAAGCATCAAACTTTTGCTCTCACTATTTTGAGCCTAGCGTTCATACACGTAACAGAAAGGTGCCTCGAAATGATGATGGGGGATTTGAAGATGATGATGACAACGAAAAATTAACTATATTTTCATATCATGGCCACCCATATGGGAAACTCAAAAGTAGAAGTCTGACTGATGAGGAATTCAATGCAGCACATTCTTACATATTGGTTAATGAAGAGAAGATGCAACCTTACCTTAGGTAGTATTATGAACAACATTTAAGTCGGTTTTTATTTAATCTCATAAGTTTAAACAATTTAAATGGTAATGTACATGAAGTATGAAGAGTCATTGAAAGACCTAAATCCGGATATAAGTGAAGATGATCTTGCTGCTGAAGTGGATGAAAACTTTGCTACATGGTTTCAAAACTATGTGAGTTTTTAAGTTGTTTTCTTTTCTTTTGGGAAACTTCTAATGTATTTCATTCTTTGTCATATAGGCACGCCAAAATGAAATAAAGTACATACATGATCTTTCTAGAAGACCATTGAGGACTGTGAAATTATATAATGTATACTTTGTAAATGGGTACAAGTTTCACACAGAATCACACGGTGCGAACAAATCAACAATGAATAGCGGAGTGTGTATAAGTAGCCCATTTGGTGATTACTATGGAAAGTTGTTGGAAATATTAGAAGTTGAATACCCTGGTTTTCCAATTAAAACAACAACATTGTTTAAATGTCATTGGTATGATCCAACACCTAATATAGGAGTCAAGGTTCACAACCAATATAACTTGGTTGATATAAACCAACGAAGAAAGTTCAACAAGTTTGAGCCATTTGTTTTAGCCATGCAAGCTACTCAAGTTTGTTTCATTCCTTACCCGAGCTTGAAACAAAACAATTCTGATTGGGTGGCCGTATGTAAAGTTAAACCTCGTGGATGGAGTGAGATACGAAAAAAAGACGTTGCTTTTCAAGAAGATGAAATTGAAGCAAATGAAATCATTAGCACTATACCAGAAACTGAGGGTGAGTTTGATGATGAAATTGAAGATGAAATTAAAGCAAATAATGATGAGGGTGAGTTTGATGATGAAACTGAGGGTGAGTATGATGATGAAAGTGAGGGTGAGTTTGAGTATAGTACATCAACCAATGAAGAAGACAACAACGTCGAAGAAGATAATCTTTTTTATTGTGATTAGCATCTTAAGGTAATTACTCATTTACCCCTTTGAATTTATTCTTTTATCAATTTCTACATAAATTGATAAAAGACATGGACAAAAGTTATATTGTATTGGTAAAATGACCGAATGAATAATGATCATTTTCACGGGTGTTGTTGCTTGATTAATATTGTCCAACTATAAAAAAAACGGAACAAAATACGTAAATGCCCTTGTTATCCATAATCTTTTGTCCCAAAATTTATATCTTTTGACCGAGACTCGTGCCAATGGGACAAAATAGTAATTTTTTTGTCCCAGGCAGAAAGCTGGGACAAAAGACCTAAATGCCCTTTTGATTCAACACAACATGAAAGTAGTGTTTGTAGTAACTAAACTATAAAAGTTTGCTAAACTAAAAGTAGATATTTACAGGTTTTGAAATGTGTCAAAGGAATGGAATCCATCAAAGGAATGGAATCGGTCAAAAGAATTGGAATTTGAAGAAATTGAAGTGTGTCACGTGTTTGTTTAGAAGCGTTTGTAAGGAGAATGAAATTGAATTCAACTTCGTTCGTTTACCAACCAAACACCTCAAGGGATGGAATCTCACATTCCAACTCCGGAGGAATCCACAAACCAAACACATCCTAAGATTCATGTTTTTATTTTACCTGCCCGTTTGTCCACAACCACCACGTGGTGAAGAAAAGATTATTGTTTTTTTTCATGTCTTTTTTAAAAATCCAAGCTTAATTGGCAGGAAAAAATCTGATCTGGAAATACAAAAAGTATCTTCAATAATAATAATGTAAAATATATCTTTAACATTTGCTTATAATCATGCTCATTTGAAATTATTAATCATGTTATTGTTTAAATTATCTAATTTTATTTAAAAAAAATATATAATGATTTACAAATTTATTTAAAAAATATATAACATTGATTGTGTTTGTGTAACTCCACATATCCGTCTATCACCGTCAAAAAATGAAATAATGTCTGAATGGTTGTAGATGAACTTTTTCACACATTGTAAGGACATCTTCCCCACCTTCCAATCACCTACAAAATTACATATTTCTCATTATTATTTTACTTTTACTTTACTACACAAGAAAAAAAAAAAAAAAATTGCAGAGTGAATAAATAAATAATAAAATATATCCACTGTTGATGATCATGACTGTAGGCAAAGCAATGGTAGTGCTGCCCATAATAACACACCAAAAAAATAATAAAATAGGACCTAAAGACACACGTGAAATGCTTTGAGAATGACTCCATTATGATGGTCAACAGGTTTAGGTTGACCATAAATAGACTTTTGATCGGAACTGTTAAGAAGAGTGCACATTTGTCTTTCTCTCCTTCTACCCCTTCTCCTCCACACACACAAACACTTATACCTACATAAGTGATTATCTCAACTCGGACAATAAGAAGCTACAGGCTGATTAGGGCTTGAAATATGATGTTTTTTCTAATTTAAGAATTGTATGAAATTTAAACTTCCTGAATAAACGTATGGCATAGGTGTGATGTTCCTGTTAGGTTTTCATTTGGAGGCGCTAGGTTTTATGCAAATTATTCAAAGGTTGATGTCGTTTGTTTTTATGAAAGAGAAGTGTTGCAAGTGCTCGCCTTTTAGTTGTTTCAGTTTGACACAGTTTTTCAGTTATTTATGGCTGTTACAATTTATGAAGTTAATACTTTCTTTTACTCCTGTCCCAAAAAACTTGAATTTGACACATAGCTTAGTTATCAGCCTAAAAGACTACATCATAACACAAAATCCATAAAACTTGTGTAATGCAATTAATCTAGTAAATGTATCTTAGCTGTCGGTTATTAGCAACAATTCAATTTGCAAAAGAAAAAATCTTTTCACAAAAGGAAAGTTGCATACAGTTTGATCATTAGTATAACAATACCCAAGTTGATTTCATTTATGAAAAATGTCTATTAGTGTTGATATGTTTTATTTGGCAACTGGATAAAAGAATTTATAGCAATGTTGACACTAAGTCAACTCACTGGCATTTGATATTACAAGTTGTATTGTCTCTCAGTTTATGGCTAATTCATGCATATATGTATCTGGTTTTTCATAAAGATTGAGACTCTGACATTGTTTATATCAACAGGGGACAACAAGATTTTTGTTGACATTGATTCCACACTTTAGAAAGGTATACTTTAAACTTTGATTACTCCTAAGTAGTTACTCTTCAGTTAAATTAATATGTTTGCTGCAAATTTGCATGAAAAAAGTAGAAAGTTGACCAAATACCATATATCTAGACTACACTTTATGATGGAAAAAAAAAACAGGGCCTTAATGTAGATGAAAGCAAATAAGCAATGCTGATATTCACTCTTATATCACCAATGAACTTATTTCTTATGTTATCTATTTCATAAACTTTGTATCATTACATTGTTGAAACTATTACTTACATACTATTGTCTTTGTGCAGATACCACCAAGGAAAACTACAACATCCTACAGGTTCTTATCACAAGTTCTCAACCACTTCTCTTCCCTTCTGCATAAATCTGTTATTCATGAAATACATTCCATTATAATTTTTCTGCATAAACAACATGTACTCATCTATCTTGTTGGCTACAACAGACTACAGCTAGATAAAGTAGGAGCAACGATTCTCATTGTTTTTTTATATGGACTATTAGATTTTGTTGCTAGTTTGCCATGGTAAACAACAAAATGGATTGTTAGATTTTGTTGCTAGATAAACAACATGTTCTCATTGTTTTTTTTATATGGACTGTTATTTATGGAACTGGAATTCAATTCCATTCCAATCTCACATTTGATGTAATTTTCTAGGTTTAAAATTACTTGACTCTTCTATGCTTGTTTCTGCTATTCTACTATTTGCATCTCAATTATATGAAATATCTTTAGAATCAACATTCATAATATATCAATTAATGATTTTTCTTGTTGGATAATGATGGAGCTTGGATCCTGCTTTGTTGATTCTTACAAAGAATATTATGAAAGTAGGTCTTTCTTTACTAACAAAAAAACATGAATACACTTTTATAGATAATTTTGAATTTTTGGTCCTATACTTGTTTGTGTATTAACCTCATTTCTTCTAGATGTATGGCATTTTCAATGCTATAATGACCTGATGTGTATACTATCTAGACACCCATTTTTCTATTCCTAACATTCCTTTGAACTATGTTATAATGTGCTAAGTTGGTGAAGGGTAAAACGGTCATTTATCATACTCAAATAGTCTTTATGTATGCAATATTAATTAAAGGCATGAACTGTTTCAACTTTTTCTTTGTTCCAGGTTCCAATCCACTCCACTCCACTCCAGTCTAATCCAATCCAATCCAATTCAGGTGATAACAAAAGCATCATGTTTAAGTGTTGTGCTTTATCTTTTATACTTACTATGACGTTGTAAGTTGTTAGTTTTTTCATTTTTAAATGCAAAAAATAACAATCTACTTTCATTAACGTATATGCATTATACTTTTAGTTTTTGTATTTTTTCAAAGTAAAAATTAGGATGCTAAAATAAATAAACAAACAAAAGTACATTGGTATTTTAAAGTAAAAAGTAGTATGCTTAAATTTTTAGTAAGATATTTCTATAATATTTGTGATCTAACAGATTTATAACTTCCTAAGTTTTTAAAATTTCAGGGAAGATGTCACAATTCTTCTTATTAAGAGACACATTGAAAAGAAAGCAACATACAAGTGTACGTTTCATAAACAAACGCACCGATGCAAAATCTGTTGGTAATATATCTGCCCCATTGTCTACACCAGCATTGTCATCATCATCATCTCGTACCACATTAGCATCTGTTGGTACTGTATCTGCCCCAACATTTGTTTCACATGTTGGTGCCACATCATCAACACATGCATCATCCATACCTACATCATCCAACCAGTCTTCCTTACCTACATCATCTACCCAATCATCTATACCTACATCTATCCAATCATCTCCACCTGCATCTACTACATCATCTGTACCTAGATCCGCAACAAATTGTAGTGAATCGGTTGAGGAAAATGTTGGTGTTCAACATCAAGGGTATTTACTTGGATCTACAGGACTGGATGGGCGTCTATATATTGGAGTGCGAGATAAGGAGTAAGTTAAAATTCTTACATTTTTATCAACATTGAGCTTCATGAATTTTACAATGCGGTTAATTTTTTCTTTTGTAGGTTATTTCCTTCGGGCCCATGTTCTTCCATTATCTATGAATCTTTTGGTGAAAGAGCTGATTTAAATGGGTATAGTTGGGCAACTTTAAGTGATGAGACAAAACTCCTTTATTGGGACGAGTTTCATGTATGTATCTCATTTATGCAATTATTAGGTACTCATTAACTAAAAAACTCATCTATATATTTTGTATTATATAAAAAGTGTCATTGGGATGAGGCAAAAACTCCGTTAGTCCAAGCTTGTTGGGAAAATAAGGCAAAGGAAAGATATAGACAATATATCTACAATATAAGCTCAAAATGGAAAAAGTCGACTCTAAAAAAAAACCAGTTAATATAACATCAGAAGTGTGGACATCCTGGACTGCAAGATGGAATACTGAAGACTTCAAGAAGAAATCAGAACAAAACAAAAAAAAATAGGCGTAGAGGTGTAGCTGATGGACAAGCCCTTTCTACGCATACCGGTGGATCGGCTTCTCATTCCAAGATTGCTTCTGATTTAGTAAGTACTCATTTAATTTTATATTATAGCAATCTACTTTCATTTAGAAATACCATTATTTAGTTCTATTTTGATTTTTATAAGGACTAAGCCTAAATACATAAAATAGCAATCTACTTTTTTTAGTTGTATGTTATAGTTTTTCTAGTTCCATTTTTATTTTAAAAAGGACTAAGCATAAATACATAAAATAGCAATGTACTTTCATTTAGTTGTATGTTATAGTTTTCTAGTTCCATTTAGTTGTATGTTATTTTATTTTTCATTTTTAAAGAGTGGAGCCTAAATGCAAAAAATAGCAATCTACTTTCATTTACTTTTGCATCATAGCAATCTAGTTCCATTTTGATTTTTTAATGGGTTTAGCTTAAAAGTAAGTTGCTATTTTTTCATTTTTAAATATCTAAGCCTAAATGTAAAAACATCAATCTACTTTAATATTGATTTTTTTTTTGTATATATGTAGAAGAAGCTTTGGGGACATGATCCGGCACACCATGAACTATTCTTGTATACTCACACTAAGAATCACGATGGAGTGACTTTTTTAGTTGACAAAGCTAAAAAAATTCATGTAAGTTTTATTTTTAATAATTTCATGTAAATTTTATTTTGATATTTTTTTGTATAAGTTTTATCTCAACACAATTATAAAATTATAGGATGATTTTATGGAACGATGTGATCGGTTGGAAGCAATAGGAGAGGAAATTGATGAGGACAAACTATTTTATGATGTTGTTGGGGGACACGATCGAAAAAAGAGATTATATGGATTTGGCTCATATGGAAAGCGCATTCGTTCTAGTAAAGGATCTTCTGAAATACATTGTGAACAATACGAGGATAATAATGCCGAGACAAAAGTCGAGATTGAGAATTTGAAGAAGTTAGTTGAGACACAACGCGAACAATATGAGGATATTCAACAAAAATATGAGGATGTTCAGCAAAAATATGAGGATGCTCAGAAAAAGAATGTGGAGTTTCAGCAAAAAAATGTGGATGTTCAAGCAAAGTCTGAACTACAACTTGCACAAGCAATGAATGTCATTAACACATTGAGTGAACAGGTCAAAACTTTTATTAATCAATGATCGAATATTATGTATCGAATAATGTTTTACGTTAAATTTGTAACGATTTTTGATATTGAAATATGTATATTTTGATGTATTTGATATTACTTTTAGTTTCTATAGAAATACATTGTTATTTTTGGTTTTATATTAATTGTCTTTTTGTAAATTGATATAATAAGTCAAATTAAATAACCGAATTTTATAGAAAAAATGGTATGGAACGATTGTTATGGAATTAACTACAAAAAAGTTGTTATGAAATTTGCTATGGAATGAATGGCTACGGAATTTGTTATGGAACGAATGGCTACGGAATTTGCTACGGAACAATTAATTATGGAATTTGCTACGGACCAAATGGCTATGGAATTTGCTACGGAATTTGCTATGGACCAAATGGCTACGGAATTTGCTACGGACCAAATAGCTACGGAATTTGTTACGGAACAATTAGCTACGAAATTTGCTATGGGCCAACTGGCTATGGAATTTGCTACGGAACAAAATAGATATGGAATTTGCTACAAAATTCATTGTTACGGAATTGTGATGGAAGTGTGTTGTAATTGAAATGCTATGGATAGACGTCGTGGCAACACCCATAGCAAAATTGCTACGGAACTATAATTTCGTAGTTAAACATTTTGCTACAAGAAATCTTACTATGGAATCTCAATGGCAAATTCCGTAGCAACTTCCGTAGTTATTTATGTTTAGTTACGGAATTACATCATTTTGCTACGGAATTTTTCCGTAGTTAAATCGAAATTTTCTTGTAGTGTTTGAGAATTATAGCTCAAAAGCTCGTGATTATCTAAGTAAGTTACCTTTTTACCCTTTGATGCCTTGAAAAACACTCATTGTTTGTTGCCTTCATGCATATCACAAGCATCTGCTCGCCAAGTAAGTTACCTTTTTACCCTTTGACTTTGTTGGTCAAGGTAGTTGACTAATTTCTATGTTGCTTTTTTTGTTGGTTTAGAGAAGGGGTAGGGTAGGGCGTGTGCAACCAGGGGAATGTTTCTAGAGCCATTAGCTGTAAGTTGACTAATTTATATGTTGCTTTACCCTCAATGTGTTTATGATGCTTTTTCTGAAAATCAACTACCCGAGCTTTTAAGAACTCCTTTAAATTCTCTTTGTTTGCAAATAATAAGTTGTGAAGTTGGAAGTATTGGAGAGTTTTTATCAGGTGCTTTCCAGTCTCCAGAGCTATTAGCTGTAAGTGTTAACTGTTCTTGATGACTTGAATCTTAATGAATGATTCAAATTGCTAAATGATAGAACTTTAATTTGTTCTAGGTCCAAAATACTTCCATTGAATCCGAAATTCGGGAAAATGCTGATAATGGGTGCTTTTTTTCGTTGCTTTGATCCTATTCTTGCAATTGTTGTTGGACTTAGTGTCAGGGATCCTTTTCTTTTGCCTTAAGAGAAGAAAGACGTGAGTAATCCAGCTACTTTCACACATGGGCATTTTGGTCTTTTCCTGATATCTTTTGTATGTCTATTTTAGCAAGCTAGTACAACAAAATCTTTTGTATGTCTATTTCAGCAAGCTAGATAAGTCCATATGTTACTCAGTTGTTGTTTTTTTATTTTTAATATGTGCAGCATAGCGAGACATCAATGTCCTTCAAAACTATGGATGATGGATAAGTCTTACTCTATACAGTAAGTATTAAAGAAATAGCAATGCGCTTTCATTCATTTGTTTCATATTTTTTCATAGTTCTCTAGGGATATTTTTCTTGTGCCATAGAATGATTAGATCCTATCTTGTTTTTTGATATTTATACACATTTTTTAAACATATTTCTTTATTGTATTGCATGTTAAGTTACCGAGTATAAAAAAGCTTGTTGATCATGTAGGTGTTCCAAAACAATAGAAAATTTTTTTAACATATTTCTTTATTGTATTGCATGTTAAGTTACCGATTTGCCATGTGTAGGTTCTGACAGCTCTAGCAACCTGCTTCCATGCCCTGAAGCCTCTCAAAGTTCTTGCATCAGGTTATTCCTTTAGAAAGGAAATTGTTAAAGGAGAATTTAGTCATGGGTTTCTTTTAAGGTTGTACATGTTGTGTTTCTATAATAAATATTATGCAATATTAGCAATGTGTTACATTTACTTACTATTGGAATGATTATTTGTATTTGACATAGTAGTGCAGTGAATTATCTTTATTGTTTATGGTATTTTATTTTGTATTATGAAACTTTTAGTGTGTTATTTAGTTTGAAAATTAGTAAATCTATCAAAAATATATAATGTTAAAAACATTTAAATTATGACACACAAAAATGCGTGTCTTCTTCCTTTATGACATTGGCTTCCTTGATACGCATTGCGTGTCATAAACACACGTGTCATAAGGTTACGACACGCAAATGTGTGTCATCTTCCTTTATGACAGGGCCTTTCTTCATACGCAATGCGCATCGTACACGTGCGTCGTAAATGTGTGTCATAAATGTGCATCATAAATGCGCGTTGTCTCTTGTTATGATAGGGCCTTTCTTGACACGCATTTGCACGTCGTCTGAGCGTTTTACGACGTGCATTGTGCGTCATAAAAGGTTGTTTTTCTAGTAGTGTCAGCATCAAATGGGACCAAAAGTGCATGTTTTTCAACTTAATCCATTAAGTCTAAGTCTCCAACCTTCATATTTGAATCACAATGATATTTAGATGGATAAAGTTTCCAATCTTATCCATAGTAAGGTCACAAACTTTCAAGATCTAAACTTTATGCACTAAAATGACCAAAAGCTCATAACATCCAAAACTAGCTAAAAATAACAAATGCTCATCAAGATTCAAACTTTATACCTCTAGAAGATAAATCAAGGTGAAGAAAGTCCAAATCTACAAGCTCCAATGCAACCAACACTTCTATAAGAAGTTTCTTCTTCTCCAAGGTGCACCATTTATACTCCAAAGCACTCAAAATCACCTTCTTTTATCTCAAAAGGCTCGTCTAAGGTTAGGGTTTCATGAAAGGGGTGTTGGAGGGGTGGAGGTTGAGAATGGAGTGGATTTGGGGGAGTTAAGGAGCTTAAATAAGGCTTAAACCACAAGAATAGGGTTTAGGAACCGATTGCATATGCCCAGCATACCCTTGGTTCTCCCAGCGTACTCAGGATTCCATTAGTACGCCCACTGTACTCTTTTTTGTATGCCCAACGCACTCAGCTTGGCCCAAAACCACCCAAACTTCAAACGGTCATAACTTCTTCGTTCTAACTCTGTTTTCGACGTTCTTTATATCCACGGAAAGATAATGATGAGCTCTACAACCCTATCTAATTAATTTTGAGTTAGAACACATCGAACTAAATCCGTAATTCATAAAAGAAGTCTGAAACACTACATTCCCATTATACCATTTGACTCAAAAGTGCAAACCAAACTATATGGTCACTTATCTACATTGCCCACATCCAAATGGGTCTAAATCTTACCTTTTTAAAGGACCTAATCCTTATGATGACCGCTCTTCAATCCACAACATCGAATTAGGAATTGATTCGGAACAATGCATTATACATTCGGTGGAACGAGTGAATGAGACTTGCTTCTAGATAGATGTGTGGGACTAAGGGCTCGTGATACATTGTCACATTAATTATATATATATATATATATATATATATATATATATATATATATATATATATATATGATGCATTTCTATAAATAAAGACAAAACTTCAAAAATGGTCCCTGTGGTTTTCGAAAATATCAAGTTTAGTCCCTAAGTTCAAAAAACCTCATAGATGGTCCCTGTGGTTTCAAAACTTTTAACAAATGCTCCTTTTCGCTAACACCGTTAGTTTTTGGCCGTTAAGTGAAGGGCATTTTTGTCTTTTCACTACCACAGGGACCATTTATGAAGTTTTAACTTATTTTTTTAAAAAAAGAAAAATATATATAATTATTTAATATAAAGGGGGCCCACCCATCTCTCTCTCTCTCTCTCTCTCTCTCAAGTACAATAACCTCGTTTCTCTTCATAATTTCTCATAATTCTTGAGACATGAAGTGATTTATCAGTAAAAAAAAATGCATAGGCATTATATTGTTGTAGGAAATTATTTCAATAAATCAAAGTGATTTTACAGTTCAAGAAAGTATGATTTCCAGTCGGTTTTTCGTCTCCATCTCCACAGCCACAACCACCTGACCAGCACCAAATCCGCCTTGCTCCTCCGCTAGCGGTTGCTTTCTCTTTCCTCATAGCTCTAACCCTCTGCTTCCGCAAGTTTACAACATAAAAACGCACCGCCCCTTCCGACTCTAAACCTCCACACAAGTTTTCCTATACGGCTCTCAGCCACGCTACCTCTTCCTTCTCCCCCTCAAACCGCCTCGGTCAAGGCGGTTTCGGTTCTGTTTACCGTGGAACCCTAATTAATAGCCAGGTCCAGGATGTTTCCGTTAAGGTCATGGACGTCGGTTCTCTCTAAGACGAACGCAAATTTCAGAACGAGCTCTTCTTTGCCGGAAAAATCGATTCTGATCGTATCCTCGCCGTTGTTGGTTTTTCTTCCGATAGGAGACGACGGCGAATGGTGCTTGTTTACGAGCTCATGACTAACAGAAGCTTACAAGATTGCTTGTTTCATCGCAAGTCTCCGGAGCTAAAGGAGTGGAAAAAGCGGCTGTCGGTTGCAATTGATATCGCTAAAGGTATCAAGTATCTCCATCATTATTGTGATCCACCGATTATTCATGGTGATATAAAGCCTAGTAATATACTCTTAGATCATAATTTCAATGCGAAGATTGGGGATTTTGGTTTAGCTAGGTTAAAACCAGAAGACGAATGTCGAGTTGACTTGAATATTAAGATCGAGGAAGGGAAAAAGGTAGGTAATTCAATAATCGAGGATAACGGATCAGTCTTCGAGGAGACTGAGAGTCTGGCAACCACCACAATCTGTGAAGAGCTTAGTATAGTTCCGGATCAGTCACCTGAAAGTTTTGTTACAACTCCGATTGCTGAGACATCACCAGAGACGTTCATCTAATCGCCAGAAACAGGTCTGGCAGGTGATGTGAGTTTCTCAGAGGGAAATCTCGATGTCATAAGCCTGGAGAGCGGTGGTGCTACTTCGAAGAAAAGCAGGACAAGAAAGACGAGTATGTCAGGGAAGGATTGGTGGTGGAAACAAGACAGCAACATGTCTGAATCAGGACGTGTAAAGGATTATGTGATGGAATGGATTGGGAGTGAAATAAAAAAAGAGAGACCAAAAACCGAATGGATCACAGTAGGAGCTTCATCCAGTGCAACTCAAACAGGAAAATTAGAGAAGAAGAAGCCAAAGAAGAACAAAAAGCGACTCGATTGGTGGATGTCATTGGATGAAGACAAGAACGTGAAGAAAAAGAAAAGAAGACCAGCCAGGGAATGGTGGAAGGAGGAATACAGTGAAGAACTCGCAAAAAAGAAAAAGCCAGGGAATAGCGGATGATGAAGAAACGAGTTTTCTTTTGAGAGAGAGAGAGAGAGGACCCTTTAATATTAAATAATTATATATATATATATATATATATATATATATATATATATATATATATATATATATATATATATATATATATAAGTCAAAACTTCATAAATGGTCCCTGTAGTAGTGAAAAGACAGAAATGCCCTTCACTTAACGGCCAAAAACTAACGGTGTTAGCGAAAATGATCATTTGTTAAAAGTTTTGAAACCACAAGGACCATCTGTGAGGTTTTTTGAACTTAGGGACTAAACTTGATATTTTTGAAAACCACAAGAACCATTTTTGAAGTTTTATCATAAATAAAAGATAAATATATCAGCATCAAAGTTCAAATATATTTTAATATCATGATTCTAGGTCTATTTCAAGTTACCTAGCAAAAAACGAATCCTCGATTTTTACGTCTTAGAAATTAAATATAATTAATGCATTAAATGCAACCATCAAATAATGATAATAATCCAATAGTGATAACAAGTTCCTAATTGATTTTATAATCGTTATATATTTATTATATGTATATTTAGATTTTATTTGTCTTATTGGTTGAAAATTTAATTGATAAAAAATAACATTTAACGAAAATTAGTGAGAAGACTGATGAATGATATAAAATGATAAAATGTCATTTAGAAAAATGTGATGTTTATAATTAATTAAATATATATTTAGAAATTTTTAAAAAACTAATGAAAAGTTAGTTTAAATAGCTTTTTGAAAAACTAGTTTATAAACTAACTTTTAAATTATTTTTTGGTTTTTTGTTTGTCGTGACAACATAAAAATACTCAAAAAATAATATTGTTTATCAACTAGCTGTATTAGAAACATAGTTTTAAACCATCATTTTTTTTGCATCAAACTTATTTGCCTTAACTTATTTTAATTAATTAATTAATTAATTTATTTATTTTTTAAATTCGAATATCACATAAAAGTTAGAAATCAAATATTTTTCGTGACATTCAATGGAATTAACTAAACATTAATTATCCATAAATAGTTTACCATTATGGCTTGTGATGTACTTTCCATATAAAAGCTAAAGTTATAGCGATTTAATATAGATAGCCAGGTTCTTTTAATTTAAAGTGATCTCTTTAATCCTTTAATAATACAAAATAGTACAAAACAAACACTTAATACTTATAAAGTATTGGACCAGATTATATTAAGCACCGATAAGCACATGTGTCACTCGTATCCAAGTTTTTGACCACAAACCAGTACTATAATTCCAAATTTAATGGAAAGTACTAAGTTATGTATATAGGATATAAGTCTAGTAAACTAATAAACAACTTATGAATGGTCTTCAGTTATACCCAAAAACATAGTTTAAATCAAGATTAATTGCAACTTTTTCTTTGTTCTTGCTTTATACACTCTCAATCAATTCGAAAAGGTTATGTTTGTAAATTTTCTTGCAAATTACGGATTTATTACTAATGATCTGATGATGAATGCGTATCTATGACTACGGCCGGCAATTTTCCACAAGTTTATATGATCCTATCATCAGGTCCAAGCGTTAGGATAAGGCAAAATTTTCGTTTACACATTTTATAAAGAGATTATAAGTTAATTGATTTTCTGATATTTATTTGGTAGCGATGAATTGGTAGCTTGGGGAAAAACATGCTCATGTTATCAAGTGTATTATGCGATGTGAGTACTCAAGGGGCAATTATATCCGATAGTGAAAGTGTAGTCGGATTAAAAGATGAAAAACAGGGCCGAGCTATTAGTTTTTATTGCCCTTGGCAAGATAAAAAATTTATGCTAAGATAAAGGAGATAAATCCTCACCAAGGTTTGTTTTTTTTTTTTTTTTTTTTTTTTTTTTTTTTTTTTTTTTATCTTCAACATTTTGATTTTGATCATTTTTTTCTTCAAAATTTTCAATCATTTTTATTTTTATAACATAACTAACATTGATCCAAAATTAAGGAAGTGGTAAAGATCAAATCGTGACATGTTGATAAATGTCATAAATCCCAAAAATGAGGGCTAGAAATTGATTTTCTTTATTCTGAAGGTTATTATCGGAATTATGAGGAGGGGGCCATAACATGATGATTTTCCCAAAACAACATCCCCAAACAAAAAAATCCCATACAAGAGAGAGGTTGTGATGTAAGAAGTTCAAATGTGGATCATATTGTTTTTTATGGTGATAGATAACCAATTGGTATTAATGTGTTCTTGGTTTTGTGTGTGTTTATCATATCCAAAAGAACCCACATTGTCTTGTTCTTCAACTTCTTACATCAAGACCTCAGTATTGGTTTTAAGTGTTGATGTTTTGATTATGAAGATTAAAGTTATCTGATTAAATGAATGAGAATCTAATTTTCAAAAACTAATATCAATATTGCAAAGTTAAACCTTCTAAATCAGCACACAAAAATGATGTCCCCAACCCTTAGAAAAAAAAATCTGAATCAGAACTAAATCTGCATAAGAAAACAAATATGAAGTTAAAGGTAGGAACATATGAACTCCAAAACTCTATAAAAACCAGAAATCAAAATACATAAAAATAACTCAATCCTTCAAAAAAAAATTCGAACATTATAAAACCAGAAATCAAAACAAATAAAAATAACTCGGACTTATTAGAGAGAATATCATAAAGATAAAATACAACTTCTATAGATATCGAGAAATTAAAGCAGGCTAAAGCAAACTTTTAACTCTAATTCTGAAGTCTCAATGAAGTTGAATTCTTCGCAGTTTATAGCGATGCATCTGGAGTTAGGTTATGTTGTGTTCTGACCCAAAGGGATAAAATGATAGCATATGCATCAAGACAATTGAAAGAACATAAAAAAAACTACTCCACTCATGATCTGGAGTTGGCAGTGGTAGTCTTAACACTAAAGATATGAAGGCATTATCTTTACGGCATAAAGTGCAAACTTTTCACTGATCATAAAAGTCTTCAGTATCACTTTGCTTAAAAAGAATTGAACATGAGGCAACGACACTAGCTAGAGTTGCTTAAGGATTATGACTGTGAGATACTTTACCATCTTGGTAAAGCAAATGTTGTAGCTGACACTCTAAGCCGAAAAGTGAGCCTTGAAAAAAGAAGGCCAAGAGCGTTAAGCATTGAAGTTGTCTTAACGATTATGGAAAACATTAAGAAAGCACAGGAAGAAGCTTCAGAGAAAATGATCGAAAGGAAGAACGTTTGGGAAAAATGTTAGTGTTCGGTACAAACAGTCAAGAGTTAAAGGTATTCCAAGATAGGATTTCGGTACCTAAGATGGGAGGAATATGAGATCTTCTGATGAAGGAAGCTCACAAGACCATATACTTGATTCATCCTAGCAACCCAAAAATGTATAGGGATCTGAAACCCTATTACTGGTGGTCGACGATGAAGCTTGATGTTGCAAAGTATGTGGTCGAGTGTGTGACATATGTGAGAGTTAAGGCACAACATCAGAAACCGTATGGGAGTTTAGAACCTTTACCTGTACCCATGGGTAAATGAGAAGACATCAACATTGAATTTGTGACTAAACTGCCCAGGACGAAGAATGGTCACGATATGATTTGGGTAGTCGTGGATCATTTCACAAAGAGTGCCCACTTCATAGCAGCCAATGAAAGATGGTCTATGGATAAGCTTGCAAATGCTTACATGAAGGAGGTAGTAAGACTTCACGATGTTCCTTTAACGATTGTATCAGATCGTAATAGTCGTTTCACGTCAAGGTTTTGGAGGAGTCTGCAAGAGGAATTGGGTACGAAGTTGTGTTTAAGTACAACTTATCATTCGCAGATAGATGGTCAGAGCGTAAGGACGATTCAAAGTTTGGAGGATATGTTAAGAGCATGTACCCTGGAATTCCAAGGTAATTGGGATGAACATTTATCTCTGGTAGAGTTTTCCTACAACAATAGTTACCATTCGAGCATCAAGATGGCACCTTATCAAGCTTTGTACGGACAGAAATGTCATACGCTATCTTGTTGGCATGAAGCTAGAGAAAAGCAATTTATGGGCCCCGAGATAGTCCATCAGACTACTGAAAGTTGTAGGTAATTAGGAAAAGGATGATAGCAGCTCAGGATCGTCAAAAGAGCTATGTTTACAAGAAAAGACGACCAATGACATTCAAAGTTGGAGATTCGGTTTTACTTAAACTCGCACCATGGAAGGGACTTATACGATTTGGTAAAAGGGGAAAGTTGAGTCCATGGTTTATTGGATCGCTTAAAGTTCTTCAGAGGATTGGGAACCAAGATTACAAGCTAGAACTACCATAAGAAATAGATGGTATTCATAACACCTTTCATGTATGTTATTTGAAGAAGTTAACGGGAGAAGTTCCTGACGTAATTCCAATTTCTGAATTAAGGATGGATGAAAACAAGAGGCTAATTGAAGAACCAGAGGCGATTGTTGACCGTAAGCCGATGAAGTTACGACACAAGATGGTCGACTTAGTGCTTGTGCGATGGAAACGTACGAATGGGCCAAATCTCACCTGGAAAACGGAGA